TATCATTTTCTGTATACATTTTCCTGAAACTTTTAAGTTGCATATATAATGTCTCATTATCCCTAAATAGTCTAGTGTGTATTTCCTAAAAAACAACTTTTTTTTAAAGTAGCTACAATGATCAAATTCAGGAAATTACCACTGATACAATGCTGTTATCTAATGTATACTCAAATCTCACAAATTGTCTCAAAATTGTCCTTCATAGCAAAAAAAAAAAATTTTCTTAACTAGGATCCAATCCAAGATCATGTGTTTTGCATTATCTGTCACATTTCTTTAGTCTTCTTTAATCTGAAACTTTTGACAAGTATAAGGTGGTTATCTTGTAGAATATCCTTCAATTTAGGTTTTTAAAAATATTTTTTAAAATAAATTATATTTATTTTGGCTGCATTGGGTCTTCACTGCTGTGCGTGGGCTTTCTCTAGTTGCGGCGAGCGGGGGCTACTCTTCGTTGTGGTGCATGGGCTTCCTGCTGCGGTGGCTTCTCTTCTTGCAGAGCACGGGCTTTAGGCACACAGGCTTCAGTAGTTGTGGCGCATGGGCTTAGTTGCTGTGCGGCATGTGGGATCTTCCCAGACCAGGGCTCAAACCCATGTCCCCTGCATTGGCAGGCAGATTCTTAACCACTGCGCCACCAGGGAAGCCCAAAAAATATTTCTTCTTGATTATGTTCAGTTTATACATTTTTGCCAGGAATACCACATAAGTGACGTTGTACCTTCAGTCCATCATATCAGAATGCACGTAATATAAAGTTGTCTTATTAATGGTGACACGAATATAAGTTTTTTAAAGGAAATACATTTACAAAAACTTAAATTTGTGCTTTGAAAAACAAAAAATTCATAGCTCATAGAAATCATAATTTAAATTTTTTAATATTAGCACTGAATACATTTGTGTACATACATATTTGTGCACACAAACACACAAATTGTGGGATGTAGTAAAAGATAAACTTAGAGGCTTAGATGTTTATTTCAGAGTAAAAAAACCATTGAACATGAATTAAATGTCCAATTTATGAAAGAAAAATAACAGAATAAGCCTCCAGAAAGAAGGAGAGCATGAAAAGAAAAAGGCAGAGAGGATCAACAAAGCCAAAAGTTGGTTCTTTAAAAACTAATAAAATAGACAAACTTCTGGCAAAATGGTCAAGGAAAAGAAAGTGAGAAGACACAATACTGGGAAAGGAAACAGGTATATATATCTAGCAGAGGTTTAAAAAATAAGAAAGTTCCTCAAGTTCCTCAAGTTACTTTATGCTAATAAATTTGGGGGAAAAAAAGAGTATATGCTTAGAACAAAACTTTTTTTTCAAAACTTTTTTTTCAAAATCGAATCGAGAAAAAATAGAAACCCTGAGTAGTCTTATTATTTTTAAAGCAACATAATAGTAGTTAAAAATCCTGCCACAAATACTAGGACCAGATTGTTTTATAAGCTTTCAAAGAAAAGTCTGTTCCAATCTTTTACAGATTCTTCTAGAGCATAGTAAATAAAACAGGTAGCACTCCCCAGCTACCTGTTATATGAAGTTATAATCTTGATATGAAAACCAGACAAGTATGAGAAAGGTTGCAAGCCCGTTTCTTAAATATAGATGCAGAAATTCTAACTAAAATACCAGCAAACTGAATTCCAGCAGCAAACTGAATTCCACAGTAAATAAAGATAGTGAAATAAGATCAAGAATGTAAAGGTGATTTAATACTAGAAAGTCATAACTAAACTACAGCAAGATCTCTGAAATCTTCCAGAAATAGCTCACCTAGTACGTGCTTCAATATGTATGTACTCCTAGCTATCCCTGGAACATACCAGGTATGCTCTCTCCTTGGGCTCTTTGCACAGGCTGGTCTGCCTGAAATGCTCTTCTCCCAGGGAGGTAAAGGTCTTGCTCAAGATGGTTCCAATGCCACCTCTCTCTGGGTCTGCCATGAGTACCTTATTTAACGTCACAAGCCTCCCACCCCTACCCCAACAAACATTGAGTCCCCATCCTACTTACCCTGCTTCATTTTTCCCCACAGCATATAGCACTTACACCACAATTATTATTCCTTTTGTTTATTACCTGTCCCTCATTTGCTGCCTCCCCAGGTCCCTCCCCCGCCCCACACCCTGTTCAAGTGTAAGCTCAACTGGGGTTAAGAATTTTTTGTCTGCTTTGTTCATTGTAGTTTCTCCAGCATCCAGAAGCGTAAATGGACAAGGCTGGCATTCAATAAACGCATACAACAGTTTGTCTAGAAACTTTTGTAACAAGGAAGACAAGCTGGCTTTATATCCTTTTAGGATTACCTTTTGTAGTACCCATTTTGCTTGCTTTTCAGTGACACAGGTAAAGAAAAGTGGTCAAAGTTGTAATATGCTGCTTATCACATTAAATTTTTTTCATCTGTTAAGTTTTTGTTCATGCTAGACAGTGTTCCATTTCTAGATGTTTCCATATAAATCTCAATAGAAAGAATTACATTTCCACAAGGGAATTTTAATTCTGTCTATATTTATATGTTTTGCATCAGGATTAACATAAATATGCTAATCTAAAAATACTGGAATGTCACAAAGTAGTGAGTCCTTAAAATTTAATTAATTAGTTTCTAACATATTAAATAAAAAGCTTTGATCATTTGTTCTGATACTGGTAAACTACAGAGCAAAGTAGCAAAATCCAGGACCACCAAAATATCAGGTAATTTTTGGTATCAACAGACTTCAGAAATTACAGTACTACTTAAGCTCATTTCATTCTCATAAGGTATTATTATCACAATAAATCTCCTCTTTTACACTGCATCAGCACCATTTGTGTTGGTATTGGCATTGATGTTCACTCTATATAAAGTTCACTTCTACTGTATTTTGATGCAATAAATATCAAGTGAGAACTCAGAATTCATCTCTTTGGGGCAGGACCACATTTGAGGAAATGGAGACCAATATCATCTTTATTTATTGCCAGTGCACATGGGCCTGACATAAGGACAAATCAAAATGGCACACATCATTCTGTGTGCAGGGCAATTCCTCTCCCGGCCTCCCTCCCCCATGCTATTGTACTGAAAGGACAATGAAAGAACAATAAATTAAAATCCAGTTTTCTATGTTGTGAGGAGAGCTGATCCTACAGTAATAATCAATACTCATCTTCTACTCTTGCTCTTTGAGTTCAAACCTTATCTAGCACACATCAGACTATAAAATCAAGTCAATATAAAGTTAAGTCTAAGAATTATGCTTCAGTATTTTGAAGGTTTTTGAGAACATTGGTTTCTCTTTTAGTATAATTTTTCTTTCATGTGCCTGGAAACATAGATTTTCATGTCATCATCTTCAACCTTGAGTGTCGAATACAAGAGGACACTTGCTAAGTTGAAGCAGTCAAAGCCACAGCTCAGGAGTTTTGAGATTGCCAAGGGATTTCCTAGCCAGATTACAACTATTTTCTAGACGGGATAAAAGGTGAAGTATTTCGTATACTTGCAAACCAATCCCTCCCCCTCTCCACCAACTGTCCAGCAAAAACCACCACCACAACAATTAACCAACAAATGTGTGAAAGCAAATAATATATTGCCCAGGTCATTGTGATTTCACCATTTCTACAACAAAATGAGAGAGAGAGAAAGGCAATGTGTTTTTCGTAAAGCTAAATTTATTCTTTATTCAGAGATTATGTTCTTCCTATTTTGGGGATGCTAAAATGTCTTTTCTTTTATATAATAATGCCAATAGCAGATGGTAATTTGGGTTTTTCTGTTTTTGTTTTATGTCCTTAGCTGGCAAGTTTAAAAACTAGAAACACTTAAATACCCCAATTAAAAATTTTATTTATTTATCTGCAGATTTCCTGGTGCTTAGATCTCAGAGCCTGGGAACCATAGCCTAGGTAAAGACCTACCTTCTGTGTTGCATGTTTCACAACACTGAATTAATTTCTTAGCAAGTTCCCCAAACAAGTTATGTAGCAGAATAAAAGTCTTAATTTATGTTAAACCAGTGCAAAAATGGGCTCAATTTCAAGCACCAAAGGAATATATTTTCAGTCAACACCATGGTTATAACATCTTTTATTAAAACGAATTATATCAATATCTATAGGGTACCTATTTAAAAGTATAATGCCACTACTCTAATATCATCATTGTTCTAGGAGTAGCCTGGTGTCACATATGTGAGCAGTATTGGTGCAGTGCAGAAACAAAGAAGGTGGGGTCCAAGCAGGCCACCTTGCTGGGTCAGGGTTTTAGTGGCACTGATGGAGCTGCCCATGAATGTACATTTTGGCCCGTTTACCTTTATAAATCATACCATATAGCATTCAGTATTTACATGCATCTAAACTGAGAAGGCATACGTATTAGAGGAAAGCATATTTTAGTGGGCATGTGTCAAAAATAACTCTGTATTTCATCATTATTTTTACGTCATTAGCTACCCTTGAGAAAGGAAAGTTCCATTTAAATGTACAAACCAGGACATGCTTTTAGAAAACCTTACAGAGTGCTATGCAAATTGCAGTGTGTCCTCCCATGAGTAAATCAATTAATCCCCACTCCCTCAAAGTGTTAAAAATAAAAAAGGATAGCTGGTCATTACTTTTTAAAGTATGTTTCAGAGAAAATACAAGCATAATCATCATTGGCATTTTGGACCAGATGAAACTCTTAAGCCTTACATCTGACTCTATCATTCAGTGATTTGTTATAATTGTGTTCCTTCCTAGTAAGCAGTTCTTGCTAATGTTAGTTCTGTATCTATTTGATAGGGGCATTTATGTTACATTTCAAAATAACTTCGGGTAGCATCCAGAATATATGTCAGGAACTCCTGAAAGCAACTCTGCTTTCCTCTCAATTATGACATTTAGCTTTATCAGTAACTGTTAATTAACATGACAGCTGAAGATTTGGAGATGGTGGGTGGCTTGCAGCAAACATGCCTAGGCTGGAACATCTGGTCAAGTTACTCAACACAGTTACCAATGCTTAGTTCTTCTTAATTTTCTTCAGATAGCGAGCCCGGGTGGAGTTGCCTAAATTCATGGTCAATTTAAAATACAACCAGGAAGGCAGGCTTGAGATTACTGAGGCCTAGGGAAAAAAATGGGG